CACGCATATGCTAATTATAACACGCTAATCAAGTACAGTAGCGTTATATTCAAGGCTAATGCCTGTAGACAGCTTCCATCCCCTTAAATTCATTTCTTTGAGAAACAGTGGACGCAATGAAACAGTAGAAGGCTGCTAGCCAATCTAAATGATTCAGGTCACTAACTACAGGGGTGTCAGTCAGCTAAAATGACAAGTTAGGGATCAAAGATGAGGCAATCAGATCAGCCTTTCCACTGCCAAACAGTTTTATACTATCAGGAATGATGACCCATGAAACCATGAAGATTAATCACAAACCAGTTAAAGGAAAATGTCTTTAATTTGCTGAAAATGGGTTTATAACTCTGATTTATTTGTTTCTGACCAAAAGACAAACCAAAAAAATAACTGTCAACATTTACTTTAAAGACCCCATAGATGTATCTAAATTAAGAGAAATCTATTTTCTGAAGTAGCAATTGGAGTAAATGTTTTTCAGTCGCTTTTTCTGGAGATTTCAACAATGCCATTGTCATCAAATGGTATTTCAGCTTATAGATCAGGGTGAAAAATATAAGAGCATAATCTGAGCTTACATTACTCACATTTTCCATTTCTGTTAATCATCAGGGTCTGTAACGTTCATCATAATCTTTTCAACTCCTGTCAGCATCTATCAGTCTAACTACTTGGAGGAAGGCTTTAGGTTGGACAGTCATTTTGATTTAAGAACTGTGTGAATTATTTCTTGTAAGATTTAACGCTGTGTTAAACTTCGCTAAGACGTTTTTTTGTTTTTGTTTATATGAACATGATGGCATCTTACAATTATTGAAGATTTGCCAGAAGGACATCCATGATGGAAATGAAGATCTGATGACTGAAGTTGCCACTGGAGTACAGCAAACTCATTGTCATTTTTGATTGGTTTGAGCTTTGTGACATCATGCACTAAGCTCCGGCAAGTAGCCATTAAAGGATGGGAAGATTGTGTTTATAAAATGACAGATGTAGTCAGAAACTTCACTTTATTGAGGGGCCAAAGGTGTGTCAAAAAAATACCCCCAAACCTCCAACGTGAAGGAATAATGGAAATGGGGAGGGTTCTATACTTTAATATAAATTCTAGGATACATTTTCTGATGTCAAAGGTGATGCTGAGACCAGCGAAGCAGCCAGAGTTTTTCTGATTTTTCATCATTCAACTATAGTGACCCTTTTAAACTGCAGCCCTGTTTTCTTTTTCTCAGCAGACAGGGGTAGCCCTCACTGTGACCTCAGGGGGCTGTGGCTCATCTCTGTCATGGTTTCACTGAAATATGCATTTGAAAATGATAGTTTGCTGCATCTTAAGTGGATATTGAATGCATTTCTGCTTTTATTTAAATTCAATTCAGTCTTCCAACTTTTCTGAGCTTCATTTTCAAGACAGCGTTTTCATCCATACAAATGGCACTGATTCGACATTCACCCTTCTAGGGCTGAAACAATTAATCAGATTAATCGATTATTGAAAGTATCGTCAACTATTTAGTAATCCATTAATTGATAACCCATATAGCTGTAATTATATTAAAATTTGAGTAAATATGTAAACATTTTGCATTTAAGATTAAAAAAAAAAAAGAACTTTCTGTGAATTTGCTCTATCCAGAACTCCAGTGGAAATCGTTTTGTTTCACCTGGTTTAATTTTTAAAAAAATCTTTGATTCACTGAAAAATAAAATGAGACCGATCAAATCGAATTGCAAAATAATAATTTGTTGCATCCCTACTCCCTTCCAATTCAAGCCGAAGGTTTCTTATATAATGCCATGTTCAAAATCCCCCAAATAAAGTCCTGGATATTAATGCTCTGTTATTCATCATGTCTAGCCTACAAAATACTTTAGGAAGTGACCATATGATTGGTTGATCGTTTTATCCATGTTAATAGAAAAAATGTATCTATTCTATTGGCCTATGAATGTATAGCCGTATTTGCTTGTAGAATGTCAATAAGTGGCTTCTAAACTATAATAGATTTACCAATATGGATCCAAGCACTCATATTTGGAGTAAAACTGGTAAATGACATATGACCAATGTGATTCAATAATATCATATGCACAAATCATTTTAAGCATCTGAATATTTAAGATATGTAAAATATAATTCTACAGTAGTCTATGCATTTAAAATTGTTGATAAAGGAAACAGTTGGGGGTCAACTGACTTGTACCAAATAAAAGAATTTTTTCTAGCTTTTATTAAAAGTAAAAAAAAAAAAACTTTTTTCGAATCCTTACTATTCTGCATATACTAAGCATTTTGGATTTGCTGTAGCTGTGTGGATATAAAAACCATTGGGCTTTTACGTCAACATACACTAAGATTCAGGCAATAATATTCAAATGAAACATCTTAAAAAATAGAAAATAAAATTAAGGGTTTTCTCCAGCTGACTGGAGCAAACAACATTTACAGAATGGAAGGAACTTCTGAGCAAGTTTATAGATGAGGTTGCAGGAAGGAAGTGCGTCATCAGAGGCAGGGGAAAAAAGTGAAGAATCAGTCAGCAAGCTGCATCCTGTAAGCAGCTCCGGAGGAACTGATTTCATCAATCTCAGCCTCCTATGATTTACCAGTAATATGATGCTGCTCTGCCTTGTAAAGAAAGTTACTCTGGGACAGTGGCGGCCGGCCCATAGGGGGCGCTGGGGCACCGCCCTCCCTGATAAGAAGAGAGAAACGTAAAATATATTTTTAGAAATTAAATCATAAATGTCAGTTTTACTCTCTAGACTGTGTACCTATAAGCAAAACAAATTATATAAACTACATTTCCCTACCTACTGTCATTAATTTGTGGATTTCCACAGACAGACTCCTACCGTCTCTGTTCTGGGGGCGCCTATCAGACAGCCCCACATTTGCAGAGAATCTGTCAATCATGTACTTTTGCTAGGTGAATTTAATGGCCAATCAGCGTCTCGGAACTTTATGGTCTTGGGGCTCTGAAAATACTGCGCTTTAACAGGCTTCTGAACCCAAGCGCAGGTGCAGACAATGAGAGGGACGATGGCGAATGTAACGAGCGAGATGCAGCTTCCAGCAAATTCGGTGAGATCCTTATTTATCTACCCGTTTGCCAGAAGAACATCCCTGTTGTAGGATATGAACATTTCATGTCATGGTTATTGTGACTCTGACGAATCCACCTCGTCGCTTAAAACAACCTCTCTAACTTTGCGCGCCACACACACATTCCTGTTATACTGTGTTTGTGAGGACCAATACACTCGCGCTGAGACCAGTAGCTCCATGAACTTAAAACACACAAGCTGTTCCTGGTTACCTGCTGGCATATTGAGGGTGCACACTTAATATTTCAGTGGGGTTAGCCGTGTGTGTGTGTGTGGTGGGTGTGGGTGTGTACGTGTTTATGCTATGGGGACTTGTCATCTTCAGTCTGGCTGCATCTTTGCTGGGTTCAAATCCAGTTTGGTGTAATTGAATAAGTCAATGAATCTGTGTAAAAGAATTAAGTTGTAAAAATTATTTGTTTTTGTAAATCAATTGTTTGTGGAGGTAATATATGGACAAAACTGATTAATGAGAAGAAATCAGAAATAAGAGAGCCTGAGGTGAGGGGCTTAAACTATTTAATGAGGGCTGTGGGAAGAAAAGCGGCAATTTTTGTTGTCTGTTTCTTTGTTACATTGCTGGTAACTGGAGGGAGGCTGAGGCCCAGAGTATCTGGTATATGTTTAGTTTCTTTTGCACCCTGTTTTGAGTTTTTGAGCTCAATAAATCACCAACACCGGTAACCCGACTGAGCCTGGATTCTTGGAGGCCAAAGAACCCCGTCACAGTGACCAAAATCATCACTGTTACTGTTATTATATAGTAAATTAAATCATTACTGTTAAATTGTATGTATTGTCCAATTGTTTAATCGAATTCTTATTCCGGATTAGTTGGAGACATACACTAGGCTATATCAGCCCCACCAAAAATATTTTTCACCAGCCGCCACTGCTCTGGGAATCATATAATTTAAAGATTAACAGATGAGAAACAAAAATACAAAATACAAACACCCCTTTTGTGTTTTGTAACTGTAGGAGCAAAGAAAAGTTGATCCTGCATTTTAGCCTTGGTTAAAAAGCAGCAAAATCCATCCATCCATTTTCCATCACTCTTATCCCAGGAGGGGTCGCGAGAAGCAGAAAAATAAAACTTTAAATTGTTAAGAAACTCTGCTGGCTGCTTCTAATTTCATAAAATATATATAAATATTTTATAAACCTAATGCAGCAATTACACTATTTATTTTTCTTAGATGTGAATAAACACCTATTATAAAGTCTATACACCAAACAGGGCATTTGTTTATGGTTTTCAAATTGGATGATACTCAAGCTAGTCATTAAGTGAGATTAAAACTGTTATCTACGTATGGCCCTCACAATGGGGTGTGGCTTAATATAAATTCAAGAGCGAGTCAAGTTTAAGGAGAGACTTCTTGCCTATTTTTTCCCTCATTAAGGCAGATCATATCACTACCATTCATGTACAAATACATACCTTTGTGTTATCAACAAATATGGATGAACTTAAAAGCTCCTCAAAGGAATATTAAAATTTCAACATACACCATTTCGTTTTAATGGACAGACATATTTCATTAAATGAAAATGTAATTACTCATTCCTCTTTACGTCTTAATATATTGGTGAAAAACAAAAACAAAAAACTGCGCGTGTACGCCAACACTGGCTAACAATTGCGTAATTAAGATAATATCTGATAAAACCAGCAGACAGAATTGCTGCAAACAAGCATAAAAATAATAATAATAATAAAAAAGTACGCATTAACTTGTAACCTGTGTGTTAATATTCATGACACTGTCTCGATTAAAAAAACTGTTGTCAATAATTTATAACTTTGACTCAAAGGGACAGCCAGTTTAGCTAGCTTTGGCAGTTAGCTGACAAGCTAACGTCATTAGCACTTGTCAATGCAGTCTCACCTTCAGTCTGACTTCGTACGTTGTATATCTGCCTCTGCCAACCCCGACAGTCTCTGGATTGCTCACGTCAATCTCAAGAAAATTACTCGGGGGTCCATACGCGTCATTTAAGTTCTGGGGCTTAGTGTACAGCCTTCTCGTATCAGCTATAGCATCAGCCATTTCTCCCTGTCCTCCCGAGCAGCTAGGGATGCTGTCAAGCTAGCCGCAACACGGATATGAACTTTATGCTATAGTTCTTCAAAATAAAATACCTAGAAAAATCACATTGTAACACCTAAAAGTATATTGGTAAAAACGTATTATAAAAACCTTATTATATATAAAGTATATCAACAGTTCAAACTTTTGGCACAATTTATGTGAAATAAATATGATTATAGATTAAATACATGTTACTCTCTTTTATTTTGAAGTTATGTTGCGTCAATTCTGTAGCACACTGACGGGGTTGCATTTCCGATCAGCTGAGGTTCAGCTGACGAAGCCCAGCAACTTGTTTAAATCTAAGTTTGTTTACGACCTGCCAGCAGGAATGCTATTCTTGTTATTCATCAACATGATCATTAGTAGGAAGAAGAAACAATTATTATTATTTTTTGTTTAAGTTTTTAAACTACGCAATATTAAACTTTGTATGTATATAATATCCGTTTCTTTGCATGACTACATTGTATTTTGACTCATATCCATGTTAAAGGAAAGTGCATTTATCTTGCACATTTAACAGCAATACAGAGTTGAATAGGGAAAAATAAAAGCAAATAAAATCATATGACAGCCAAAAAAACCACCCAAAACAAATAAAGGTAGGATAAAAATAAAACTACAAAATCTACTTATATATTAATTTGCTGACACTATTTAGGCCTACTTTACTAATATACCAATGCCTTTTAATTCATTTTTTTTTTTTTTTTTTTTTTTTTGCTTAAAATTAAGTTTTCAGCCATTTATTTATAGTAAATGTGTTTATTTAATGATTACTTTCCTGTTTCCTTGGTTATTTCTTTGATGTTTCTTGGTGCATAATACACATTTTTTAAAGTTTTGTATGTTGTTGTGTTTTTATGTATTTTTCTTGAGGGGGGGTTATTAATTTCAATTTATCAATTAATTAAACTTTGCACTGATTGCATACATTCATGTAATTTTACTTGGTTATACTTATATACTGGATATAATGCTATCATAGTCTCAGTGGAAACCATGCAGGTCTGTCTGCGGTTGGCAAGTGCCTCTCTGACAATCTTACTAGACCTTACGTTGATCTTCTAATGCTTTCTTTAGACCTTAATGTGGTATTGATTGAGGATGAGGCAAGAGGAGAGTTACATAGATTCAATAAGGGATACCACGTGATATGAAATAAAAGAAAGCATTGCAATAAAAATAAGGAAGTAAATGTTAGAACTAGTGTTATACTGATACCGATACCAATATCCCCCGATAATGCACTAAAATGGTGGTATAGGTATCGGCGAGTACTAACAAATAGTGCACCGATACCATGTTGAGAGCCAAAAGTTTATTCAGCTATTGTCACCCATTCCAGGTAGGCAATAAAAAGTTATACTGGATTCACTTTGTATCAGTCTTTTTCCTGCTTCACAAAGGTAGGCAGCAGCTTGACAAAGCCATGATGGCAATGATTTTACAGCCAAGTAATATGCAGTTCTTCATATATACACACGCACATCGATTTGAAACAGATGGTATCTGTATGGTATCGGTATCAACTAATACTGCACAGCCAGGTATCGGTATCGGGGCCAAAAAATTGCATCGGTGCAACACTAGTTACAAGGTATTAGATTTTTAGATTTATACAGATTTATTTTGTCATCTTGTATACACGAGTGTATACAAAAAAATGTTTAAAACAGCTCTAGACAACTTCATTTTTTTAAATGCAGCATTGAAATATAATACTAAATACATAAAAAATATGACTGTATATTTATAGTTCTAAAATTTATTTTTTAACTAAATAAAATAACTACATTTAATTAAAATCTATGTCTATTAAATTCATGCACAAACACTAAAATGATTTATAGACACGCCCGTAGTGAAAGAGCTTTTTCTTGATTAATTCTCTTTTTGAATTCTTTACTAACTGTTTCTTAACAAATTAATTCCATAACGGTGTTATAATGGTGGTTTTCCATATTTATTTACGGTGTTACCTTGTCTTGTGTTTTGTGTTTCAATAAAGTTGCAGCGCTTTGAATCATCATGGCGTCCTTCATGGTTCCTGCTGCTGTCAGGTCTTCTGTAATGTTTTTGTCAACAAAACGACCTCAGCTCGTAAAGAAAATCTTCCCTCTGTCACGCAGTTGCACCACAGGAGGTAAGTTATGTTGTTAGACGTTTCGAAAAGTTTTGCATCTATCTACTGGTTATATTTAGATTTAAAACATGTTATTATATTTAAATCAGCAGTGTTAAAACTTTCCCTCTTGTCGGGTTCCTCCTCGGGCTCTCTGTCTCCAGGTGTTTCTGACTCCGGTGACATCGTGGGCCACTTTGAGCGGCTTGTTCAACGTGGTTCCCTTACGACAGACGCTCAGCAGAGATATGTTCTCCAGAGGCTGGCTGTCCTGCAGCAAAACCTAAAGACCTACAGTAACAGCTTTGACCTGAACACCCAGCAGCGCACAGACCGCAGCGGGCAGCAGTTTATGAAGAATAATGTATCAGAAGAAACGGTAACTTTGTCAGGATGTTGATTGTATGCTTGGAATTTACTATTCAATTATAACTTTATTTAAGATACAGTAAATGGTCAATATTTTTTATATTGCTTCCAAGATTGATTAGAGGAGGAGCAGAATCTCTAAGAAGAGACTGCAGTTACCTAGGGACCCCTGACCTCTTAGGGCCCCCGTCACTGATATCTGGTTGGCCCCCTACGCAATTGTAGACCAGAACGTCTTATTTCTCAGTGGCCGGGAGGTGCAAACCAACATTACAAAATGTTCCAAAACAAATGATCATTTCAAAACAAATTTACATTTAAAAAAACCTTTACAAGTTCCAAAGAATTCTGGAGTTAGCTCTGGAGTCTGATTCTCTGTTCAATAAGAAAACAACAGATATGTGTTAATTCTAACCTGTAACTCTTGAGTCATGGTCCTCTGAGAAGCCCAGTTTTTTTTAACTACCGTATTTTCACGACTATAAGGCGCACTTAAACGTCTTTTTTCCCCCTCAAAATGTGCGGTGCGCCCTATGGTGCGGTGCGCCCTATGTGTGTTGTAACTGCGACTTTTGAGACCACCTCATTTAGGAGATGATGAAAGAGTGGCTGAATGTAAGGAGACCAGGTGTTTTTTTTTTTCCACTCATCACCATCGCTGTTAATATGTAACTCCATGCGTGCCCATCTCACAGCTGATGTGAAAAACATGGGGAAACAAATTAACCCTGTGCTCGCTGTTCAACCGCTCGACATCAGTGTGAACCGGACGCAGCAGGTGCAGCAGAAGCAGCGAGTTTACATGCAAAGTCAATGGTTGACGCGCGTATAGGTGCAGCAAAAGGTCCTGCAGCGCGTTTTGAGCCGCAGGAGCGTTTAAGCATCTGCCAACGCGCTGCTGCTGCTCGAGGTGGAAAAATTGAAGTTTTGCTGCTGGACGCGCCGCATCAACCAATCAGAGAAGCTGATCTGGGAGCTGACAGCGAGACAGACACAGCGCTCTGATGACATATGAACGCAAATGAAAAAGGCTGGATTGATGAGGAGATGATGAAAGCGTGGCTGAGGGAGGTGTAGCCTATGTGAGGAGACCAGGTGGTTTTTTCCACGCATCACCATCGCTGCGTGCCCATCTCACAGCCGATGTGAAAAAAAAGGTGAATCAAATGGATACTGTGCTCGCCGTTATCCCGGGGGTCTGACAAAGGAACTTCAACCGCCCAACATCGGTGTGAACCGTTCAAAGTAAGGCTGCGAGCGGCGTGGGAGCGATGGATGGCCGACAGAGACCACAGTTTCAGGATAAGTGGAAGGCAGCGCCGGGCAAGTTACGCCACCGTTTGCGGATGGATTGTAGATGCTTGGACTAACGTGTCTGCTGGCTCTGTTCTTCAAGCTTTCGCAAAAGCAGGCATTATTTTTGAGGAGCTGCGCTGCACGGAAAGGGACTCTGACAGCGAAGAAGGGGAAATTGGCATGTCTGTTTTAGCGCAGCTGTTTAATTCAGAAACAGAGGATGATGACTTTGATGAGTTTGATTAATACTTTGTAATAAATACATGAATAAAGCACAATCATACTCAGTTTTGCTCCCGCTCTATTTTTCTACCTGAAAACTTAATGCAACAGCAGCCTCTGGGCGGGTCTCCTCCGCGTATACCGCGGTGGCTGGCAGATGTTTTTTCATCTAAATAATCTAAATCTTGCAGCTATATTTGCTGTGATCAGTGGGAATAAAGTAGTTTTAATATCTTTTTAAGTGAGAAAGTCCACCTGAAAACTTAATAATTGCAGTCAGTTCATCCAGATTATCTATTTCTGTCGGAGGCGCTCAGACCCCCACATACCAGCGGTGCACCGACAGTAGAAATCCTTTCATCAGCAGCCTCTAGGCTGGGTCGCCTGGGGTTCACCGCGGTGGCTGGCAGGTGTTTTTCATCTAAATAATTTTAGCTGCAGGCACCAGGATACCGGTAATAAAAGCGAACATATTCCGTCGGCAGGTTTCAGGATTTTAAGTTAATTTAGGAGTGACCACAGCGCTGTGTCATCTGCGATGTGTCTGTCTCATGGCCAGCTGCCAGGTTTGATTAATACTTTGTAATAAATACATGAATAAAGCACAGTCATACTCAGTTTTGCCCCCGCTGTATTTTTAAATATGCAGTAGAGGTATTTAAAGGTAGTAGAGGACATGTACCTGTATATAAAAAACGTACCCTATAGTCCGGTGCGCCTTATGTGTGTGTTAAATACAGAAATGGGACACATAACTGAGACTGCGCCTTTTAGTCCGGTGCGCCTTATGGTCGTGAAAATACGGTATATAAATATACACTCTGTTGCCATTTTAAGCTGAAAAACTTCCATATGTGTAAAGAACAGATTTTTCGTGGCATCGCTAATTTGTTTAACCAGCCCGTCTCCTAACCTTTAAAGAAACATATGTCGAAGTAGCTGCCGGTTAAAATTCACTAAGTGCTGCTGTGTCTCTCTTCCTCCATGTAGCTACTATGTACGCAGTGACTAGCGACCCCAAATAATATTATGCCCCAAAGCGCAGATCCAATGATATTTCAAGAGGTGGGACTCAAGAGCAGCGGGAGAGCGAGGAAAAGACACGGACTGAAAACGCTCTTGAACACAGTTAGCTGCACCCAACCCCAGTTTCTGTTGGCTGAAGTAAATCAGCAGAAAGGGGGGAAAAAGCGGAAATTATTGGTGGGGACATGTCCACACCAGTCCTTCAGAAAGTTACGCCAGTGTCATAGACTGTCGGAGAGTTAGCAGTAAATGCTTTCAGTACAGGGACAAAATAACGGGCCAGGATCAGCTTGCCAGGGGAGTTTGCCGCTGTTGGCTCCTGTGAAGAACCACCTTCCTTTTCCACATATTATCATTACATTTAGTTTTTTTAAACTGCTCGTTGTATTGCGTTTCCATAGGAATGCCATGTTCATTGCAGTGCAGTAGGTCTTAGTTTGATCTTGACAGGTGCTGGGCACATTCCAAACCTGCAGATTAGCCTATTAGCTTGACCATCAAGCACATGTCATTGTCTGTAAATATCCTTATCATGTGACAGGTCCTTAGTGACACAGTGGCCCAAAAACGTACATTCCTCATTTCACCTGTTCGCCATACAGAGAAAAGTCAGGGAGCATCAGTTTGGAGTCCTTCATGCTCCATTTCTCCAATAATTAAATGTTATATCAAAGTCTCTTTCATATGCATTGAATATTAAATAAATGAACATTTAATGCATTAAATACAATGAATAGAGAGGGATAGAAAATATTTTGTACTGAAATGTTACATTTCCTGTACAATCCCAATAAAAAAAAGAAATAAAACACAATAACTCAACTCTTAGACGAATTATGTATTTAAATGTGTTTTTTATTGATTATTTCACCATTCATTCTTCCTTAGTTGAAATGTGAGAAGACCCCTTATTTTGACTTGACATTATTTCCTTCACTCTACCCTAGAGAGGCTGTCCATATTTGTCCTCAGATGGTAAGGCCTCTTCTAGTGACCCTATTGTTTTATGTTTTCTATTATTGTGTGTCATCCAGTTTTTAATGGGTTGTATGGTTTTAACCCTTGGTAATAGATCTCATAAATTCTAGCCTTTTAGCAAATCTGAAGGTTTTTGGCCAAAGCTGGAAGGTATTTGGAGCTGCTGAGTAACTATTTTGTGATACCACAACGTCCATCTAACAATAAGAACTAGCATTACAGGGAATTTGGTATCTTTTTTAACATTTCTTATCCAACCCACCTGTTTTTCAGCTGAATGGAGCAGGGGATATGCCACATTAAATGTAGAAAATGTTCCGAAATAATTTATAATAGTTCCCTTTTTTACATTATAAAAACGTATTTTCAACATTGCAGTGCAGGCTTTAGAACCACAGTAGAAAGGAACCTTTTCCAGTTGTTGAGTAATTCCTTGACGTGAACAAAACCTTATTAATATATTTTTCTTTCTTGTATTATTATGTCTAGAATCGTTTACTGCAATGGTTTCTATTAAATGTGTATTGATTTTTGTTATGAAAAGGCTTCCTACCTTGAATATAGATTGACGTTCCTCAAATAACCTCCATGGGGTATTGTTTAAAATTTAAAAGGCTTGGGAGGTCTTCTTTTTTTCCTTAAAATAACCTTCTGATGTATCTATTTTCTTATAATTGACATAGCTTAGTGAAAATTACACTGTTAAAGTAACTAAAGTACACATTCTGAAGTTCTCTCTAGTGGTACTAATGTTGCCCAATTGCAAGCAAATCACTTTCTGTCTGGTGATCTTCATTCAGTGTTTTCACCTGTTGTTGCCACCTGTTCTCCGCCAACTGCCTGTAACACGTCGCTCCACTCACTATGCCACGGTTATTCCTTCAGCTCCTCATGTAGACTGCAAGTTTCTCATAAACTGAGCCATTCCTCTTCCTGTTTCTGGTCTGCATGTGCACAAAACACATCCAAACAAGATGATTCCTTCTAACTCCTTTAACTCCTTTCCAGAGCAGAGTTAGTTCAATTGAAAAACGGGCTGAATGCTTTTGCAAATCACATTCTTCAGTTTTTTTATTTGTAGAAAATGTTTTGAATAATCATATACCACAGAATATATATATATTTTTTTGTTGAGAACATCTACCAGAACTTTAAGCCCCTGAAGTTCTAACAATATGGGGGTGTTCAGTTAACTACACTGTATTCCAGTTGCGTCAATTATGTTGACCAAGGGGTTCAGGTCAAAGGCAGGGTAGGGGTCTGGGAAGTTTATTGTGCGTGTGAGTTATGAACAGTGTAATGCAGGGGGCTGTTGTTGTTTTTAGGTCAGAGGAGCTCACTGTCTCTTATTTGGTGCTGGGAGTCTCTTTTTTTGTGTGTTTTTGTTGGTGTGCTGGCACAGACACCACCGGTTTAGGCAGAGATTTTGGAAGGCAGCAGGGCAGGCCTCCTGCTGGGCCTGTCCCGGCAGCCCTCTAACTCTCTCACCGTCCCCACGCAGTAATGAGGGGATCCCTATTGTTTGGCCATTCTTGTCTTTTCTTGCTTTTGATTTGGGCATCTGACAAATGCTTTGGTGTTAGGCTATCAATACCAGCACAGGCCATCCTGCCCGTCCACCCCTTTCTTTTTGCACCTATTTCTTGCTCTCTCTGTGTGTCACACACACACATTCTCAATGACTGGAGTACTTGCACAATTATTCCAGTTTAAATCAGGTCATACCACAGTCCTTCGGTGTCCGTTCTCTGTGAGAGTGCCACCATTGTCCCCACTAACTGACCGAGTCTGAGAGGAGAGTACAGTTGACTTAATATTGACCCAATGTGGCGTGGTTTTGCGGATGGTTGACTGACAATGGGCTATTGTTTAGTCTAAGCCACCCTCTTTAAGTCAGACAAACGGCATTGAATCCATCGCAGGAAAGTTAAACTTGAGCTCCTACTATCTCCTTTTTGATGACTCTAATGTGGGATGCAAAACTTTGACTTTTAACAAATTAACAAATTTAAAAGCCGAAAAGGCCCATGTCTTGAATGTGAACTTCCTACACATGCGCTGGTTCGTATCATCCACCAGAAGGCTAGACTAGGCTGCAAAGTTCAGCCAGACAAAGTCGCTGAGGGAGAGCCTTGTCCTTCTCCACTCTGCTGTGGCAGGATGAATACCAGTCACAGCTTACAATTACCCCACCAAGCTGGAGTGCAGCTTGGGGAGTCAGAGAGGAGTCACACAATGTTATGCCAGAGCAAACGAGGACAGCCTGTTGCTTCTCTAGTTTTTTGCAACCAGTGTAGCAGAGGCTAATTCATTTAGATTTTTATCTGCAATTGCTGGCGTTTATCAGAGTCAAGTGCTTCGTCTGCAGTGGGGACCAACTGCATGTGGACTCCAAGTACCATCCTCAGAGAATGCTTTTTAAATTAGATATTAAGAGGACAATTATTTCCATTCAGTTCAATAGGGATTCTTCATTGTCCTGTCAAAGAGAGATACCCCAACTGCAGCAATCCCAAAGCACTATAATTTAGCCATCTACCAAAATATATAAGCTTCTACTTATTTATATTTTTGTAACAAACTTACATAGAAATGCTTTTTTGTCTGTTGTGGCAGTTAGTTTTCCCCAATATTCTTAACCTCGTCACATGGTACACAGGGTTTTTTTGGAAGCAAAGACCTTTTGGAAAATAAGAGGCAGGCAACACAATGACTTCCAGCAGCAACTCAATGCTACATTACCGTATCACAATTAGCAGCGCTAAACGGGCCGCGCACACAAGTCCACTCCATCTCTTACGGAGCCTCATCCAGACCCCTCCGTTTTGTCTGACAAATCCCCCCATTGTTCCTGTGATGATGCTTTTCTTTCGTGGGAACCCTGGCTTGTCTTGTTGATTAGATCCCCTTTGTCTTCATCTCCTGCTGTAGGCCAGTCTGGACCATATGAAACCTCACACTGTAGAGCTGGCTTTATGCCTTGGCATACCTTGTGTATTAAATGATGCTTTATTTATCCTACGTTATATATATGAAAAGTGTTTTACTGTGAGGGGCAGTAAGAGATTCTGTCTAGGCACACAACAGAAAAATTATAACAGTAAATAGGAAAACTGCTATATTTGACATATTTCGATTATATTACATAACTTTTTTTTTTTTTACATAAATGTAAGTAGAAATCCATATATACCGTAGAAAACTGCTGGTAATGTTTGAATATGGAAGTGAAAAAATGAAATATTTTTGGAAGCCAATCTTATATGAAAATGTTATAGTAGTTTTTAGGTTCCTGCAGAAATAGTTTTATTGTACATAAAGAAAAAGTTGCACATCAACAGGTGGGGGAGGGGGCGCAGAGCCGATATTTTTTTTTTCTGTAGAATCTCATTTTAAGGACTAATACTGTAATTCATCTATAATAACTTTTTTAAGGGGGGAAGTTACCACAAAACTTTTAAGCTCTCATTATTAAAACATTTTTTGCCCTCAATGATCTTTAAACCTGACCTGTGGCTCTTAAAATGAGGCGATAGGAGGCCAAAAAAAAATAACTACCATATTTATTAGAGAAACAATGATCAGGAAATGTTCTTTTAAGGTTTTTCCTTAATCTAATGATTTGCTCTTGTTTTGATTTAAATTGTTCTAGCATTTGAAAGACTGATAAAATGATCCCCCTGAATTAAACACAGATTTTGTCATTGTAGATGGTTGATTTTTAGACTATGTAATTAAAAAAAACAAAATTTAGGTTAAATGTTTGATATTCTGGTGATGTTTATACCTGTAGCCAACTGCTGGTAAAAAAAAAAAAAGTCAGGAGGTCTAAATATATGTTTTGCAGTGAAATGTTTTTGGAAGCCAATCTTATATGAATAGAGATTTATTGATTTTCCTAGAGTCAATTTTAACAAGTTTCCATATATTCATATAGATCAATAAAGAGGAAAAATGTGCTACTTTTTTTTATTTAATTTTTTATTTCGTTTGTTTGTTGATAGTGGTTATAGTTTTGAGCCCAAACAGTAGGAAACAGTAGAAGATTATTGCAATCTATAAAATTAAAATGTTTACGTTTATCTGATTCTTGTATAACCTCAAAAACAGCATCAAGTGTTTTGCAGATTTTCAATAAAACCAGTTAGAGCAGAATAGGAGAAAAGTAGCTGATTGATTTTCCATCGGATATTAACTCCGATATGTCGTTAATATTATTATAGGTTGTTGCTGTTCATTTCAAGTGAGATGATATTAGGGTAATAGAATGTTTTAAGTTTCTTGGAGCTGGTGTCTTTGAGCCGAAATGTTTATTTACTTGAAATAAGTAGATCTTATTGCTGCTGCTTCTGAAATTCTTGCTTACTGTTTTAAATGCTTTTATGCTTGAAGTTGTCTGTGCTGCAGTTTGGCCAGGACCCTGTTATCAGGAGTTCCCTGGCTTTAAGAACATGGTAGATCTGACTTATTTTTTTATTTTATTAATCTCTTTTTTTCTCTAAAAAGCAAACCCTTCCTGAAGAATCACGACCACCTAAAGGACTCTATATATATGGAAACGTTGGTAAGAAGCTGCATAATTAACTTGATTTACAAAATAAAACAATTCTTTCTTGCTTTTTCAATTTAAAACTGAAATAGTCTGGTATAAGAATTAATTAATCTCTACTTTCTCCAATTTTCAACCCTTAAGGCACAGGGAAGACTATGCTCATGGATTTGTTTTACTCCCATGTGCCAAACAGTCGCAAGAAGAGGGTCCACTTCAACAGCTTTATGTTGGACGTCCATAAAAGTAGGCATCTTCCTATTCCTCATAATGTTTTGACTTCCTAATTTCATTTTTCTAATTCTTTACCTCATCATGCATTGCTAAGCCTATATTTAGCCCTCTGTTTGTCCCTGTGCTAATTGTCTGCCATTATCCATCCAGGTGAAATTACAGCTTTATTCAGCGCAGTCAGTAGTTACGGCTGTCGACGCAGGTGCGCTTTTAAGATTTTTCTGACATTTGTGTGCTGCTTAAAGGGATCCACCGAAGGAAACAAAGCCTGCCGAAGCGAAGACTAGGGAAAATGTTCACCTATGACCCCATATCCCCGGTTGCCATGGAGATCAGCAGAGAGATCTCCCTGTTGTGTTTTGATGAGTTTCAGGTGAGGAAATGCATTGCAGATATTGTTTTAAGGTGATTGTGGGGAAAGAGTGTTTATTTTCTAAAAGGTTGTTTAAGAAGTTAACCAGACAATAAATTATATTTAAATTATTAACATAAAAGTGTTTTATTGATTCTTGTCACATGAGTATAGTTGTGATAAAAGCAAATATATGCTATAATATACATGCAGTGTTATTTCTACATTTGCTACATTAGAAGCACAACATTGTATGTATTTTGTTGGAACGTTATGTAATATACTACGTAACAGCATTCAGTAGCTTATCAATTGTGAAGAGGAAGGAAAAGATTTTCAAAATGTTTTATAGACCTTATACCGGTAGGTGTTGCACTACCCGATCCGTACTGGAAGCACGATCTGTACCATCAGCTCATTTGTGCATGTGCAAGCAGATATTCATCCAGGTCCCCATAAATAATGTTTTTGTGGTACTAAATTAAAATCCTTAAGACACTAAAGAATGCTAAAACAAATCTTTAAAACGTTTTTTATAGCTTTTTCGACACAATTTTCATGCTTTTTACATTTCCTCCGACAAACAGCTAGTCTGTGTCCCCATAGGACATGCTCAGAGTAGTCTGGCAAAATATGATTAAGTCATGTTTATCTTTTGTTTTTACTTATTTCTTTCTTTAGGTTACACATAATATACCAGAAGGTTAACACAAAGGAAAAAACCAAACTCAAAAAGACTAGATTTATATTTAAATCCAAAGCCGAAAAAGGTACCGGTAGCTCTCGGAAGTAGCGTAGGATTTCTGTAGGATTTGCTGGACAGATTGGCAGAGGCGAGTGATAAAACAGAAAGGATTTTAATGCATTTATTTTCTCGGGAAATAAATTATTAACCTTTAACACATTATAGTTTATTAGGCGTGCTGTTTTTAAGGAGGCAAAAACATTATTCAGGTCATTTTTACATATTAAAATCGAGGTCGACCTGGACATATATCTGGTTGCGCATGTGCAAATGAGCTGATGGTACGGATCGTGCTTCTGGGACGGATGGGGTATTGACAGGTGTATCTTTTTAACTAATTCATTTTTTGAACTTTTTATTTGACGCCATGGACTTCAGTTGGTCCATCACCGTCCAAAGTTCCACTGGCAGTACATAGTATGGGAGAAATTGTCTTATTTCTTCTTCAGGAAGGATAGAAGAACTGGTGAGAACTCATGGGAGAATGTGGAGATAAATTCAGGGTAATCTTGGAAGTGAATCTTATAGGGGTTATGTTGCCTTTAGACGAAGGTGGAGTTCACCTTCCAACACACAAGCCGTCAGAAATAAACAGACAAAGCCATAATAAAAAAAGTACTTTATCAAAGCATATTGATGTGTTAAAAGCCCTAGTGAAAGTCTGGACTTAATAAAATAATTTCAGCTGAATAATAAAAAGTCATAGCCTGCTAGTCCGATTTTTATTTGTAAAGAAACACTGCAAACCTATATAGAGCATGGCTTCCTCTTAAGTTATATGTCACTTTGCAGTGACATGCATTGAGCTTTGTAGGTGTTAAATGGCTGAATGCATAAATAGGAGCCTATGCGTGTCCACCATTTACTGATTAGAACCAGAATAAGCACATCAATTTCAATTTATTCAAGCATTTCTTTAGATCAGAGTAAAGTGTGATTCTCTCTGTATAAGCAACGCTTTGATTTTGAACTTAACAAAAAGGGCAGAAGCAGGGACACCTAGTGGCTGGCTTTAAACATAGCAGTATGGGTTGGCACATTACAGGTCTTAATAAGAACATACATGTGCAGTTTCTTAAAATTACTTTTCTTGGATTGTTTTATTTGTTTTGCTTTAGAGAGCCACAAATAAAGCTCTTCCTATTCTTTACCTGTTTATTTTCAGAGTAGAAGGGCTTGTGTTTCACTGTGTTTCATCAAACATACTGCTCCTGATATTATTACAGTTAATAAGAGGGGAGGTCAGAGGTCGCTGGAGCAGTGATTGTTCCCTCTAATAACTCTTTATGCTTCTACTGAAGTCAAGCCAGGCTTCACTGGCTTTTTATTGGTCATTCATACACTAAGAAATATGCTACCAATGCTGGTTTGGACTTTCATTATCTTTTATTATCAGGCTTTAAATTAGTTATTAGGTGCCTCTGTGCATATGAATATATGAGAATAATTTAAATTTGTCTTGTTTTGTTTTTTTATTTAGGTAATGTTTTACATGATTAATTTGTGCACTTTATTTCAGAATGCCTATTTAGTTTATCTAAAACAAAATTGTTGTTTCCAGTTACTGATTTCATGTAGGTTTGATAGTAAGGCATCCCCAGTTTTTTCTCACCAAATATCAAGATCTGATGTTTAATTTCAAAATTAAAGCCTCTCAAAATCTCTACAGGGTGGAGTTTTTTTTTTTTTTTTACTATGTTTTTGTGACTATTGCTAAGAAACTCCCTGTTTCCGGTTACCGTTTCCCCTTCAGGGTGATAGTAGGTGCTTCTTACCAGATATAATCAAGATCTGATGTGGTTTTTCAAAATTAAAACATCTCAAAGTCTTAAAATTTGGTCATGATTATCTAAGTTTTATTGTTAATATTGCTGGGAAACTTCAGGTTTCCGGTTATTGATCGCAATTTAGGTTGATGATAGAGCACCCCTATTGGCTGCTCAACAAAAGCCATCAAGGTCTGATTTGGAATTTTGAAATTTTAATACTATTGAAAAATTACTGAATCAGTTGTCTGATTACCAGTCACTTTATTTGAATCAAACGTAACTTGAAGTGGACTGAGTCCGGTTACAGATCACTTTAAAGTTGACGTGTAAGGGGGGACCCGTTGGGTTGTAGAGTCTGGTTACAGACCTCTAGCAAGATGACTTGTATCTCATCACAGGAACTGGCTGGTTGTAGTGTGTAAAGGGGTTTCTGCAGTGGGTCTGTGGACCAATGAGGGGCCTTGTTTTTATCACTCCCTATTTTTATCAGTATGTGATGTTTTCCTTTTGCTTCGATTGCCCTTTCTTTATTGTGTGGTGGATGTGGTAAAGTGTTGTTATTACTAGAAAGTAACATAGCTAAGGAGGCAGCTGGAGCTGGTCTGGGAGGATTTAAAGTTTGAATAGAAAACACATACTTATACTTTCTCATTTGATAGTACAGGTGCTGGTCATAAAATTAGAATATCATGAAAAAGTAGATTGATTTCAGTAATTCCATTTAAAAAGTGAAACTTGTATATTATATTCATACATTACATACAAACTCATATATTTCAGATGTTTATTTTGTTTAATTTTGATGATTACAAATTACAACAAATGAAAATCTCAAATTCATCATATCAGAAAATTAGAATATTACTGAAGACCAATAAAAACAAAGGATTTATAGAAATGTTGGCCAACTGAAAAGTATGAACATGAAAAGTATGAGCATGTACAGCACTCAGTATTTAGTTGGGCCTCCTTTGGCCTGTATTACTGCAGCAATGCGGCGTGGCATGGAGTCGATCAGTCTGTGGCACTGCTCAGGTGTTATGATAGCCCAGGTTGCTCTAATAGTGGCTTTTAGCTCTTCTGAATTGTTGGGTCTGGTGTATTGCATCTTCTTCACAATACCCCATAGATTTTCTATGGGGTTAAGGTCAGGAGAGTTTGCTGGCCAATTAAGAACAGGGATACCATGGTCCTTCAACCAGGTACTGGTAGCTTTGGCACTGTGTGCAGGTGCCAAGTCCTGTTGGAAAATGAAATCTGCATCTCCAAAAAGTTGGTCAGCTGCAGGAAGCATGAAGTGCTCTAAAACTTCCTGGTATGTGGCTGCGTTGACCCTGGACCTCAGAAAACACAATGGACCAACACCAGCAGATGACATGGCACCCCAAACCATCACTGACTGTGGAAACTTTACACTGGACTTCAAGCAACGTGGATGAAGTGCCTCTCTTCTTTTCCTCCAGACTCTGGGACCTTGATTTCCAAAGGAAATGCAAAATTTACTTTCATCAGAGAACATGACTTTGGACCACTCACCAGCAGTCCAGTCCTGTTTCTCTTTAGCCCAGGCAAGACGCATCTGACGCTGTCTGTGGTTCAAGAGTGGCTTGACACAAGGAATGCGACAGCAGAAACCCATGTCTTTCATACGTCTGTGTGGTGGTTCTTGAAGCACTCACTCCAGCTGCAGTCCACTCTTTGTGAATCTCCCCCACATTTTTGAATGGGTTTTGTTTCACAATCCTCTCCAGGGTGCGGTTATCTCTCTTGCTTGTACACTTTTTTCGACCACATCTTTTCCTTCCCTTCGCCTCTCTATTAATGTGCTTGGACACTGAGCTCTGTGAACAGCCAGCCTCTTTAGCGATGACCTTTTGTGTCTTGCCCTCCTTGTGCAAGGTGTCGATGGTCGTCTTTTGGACAACTGTCAAGTCAGCAGTCTTCCCCATGATTGTGTAGCCTATAGAACTAGACTGAAAGACCATTTAAAGGCTTTTGCAGGTGGTTTGAGTTAATCAGCTGATTAGAGTGTGGCACCAGGGGCCATCAATTTTGAACCTTTTCACAATATTCTAATTTTCTGATATGATGAATTTGAGATTTTCATTTGTTGTCATTTGTAATCATCAAAATTAAACAAAATAAACATCTGAAATATATGAGTTTGTATGTAATGTATGAATATAATATACAAGTTTCACTTTTTAAATGGAATTACTGAAATCAATCTACTTTTTCATGATATTCTAATTTTATGACCAGCACCTGTATGTACAAATTTAAATACATCACAAGCTTATAGCATAAAACAATTTGCCAAGATAACAGTCAACGCTAAATTCCTCATTCGGACATGTGACCCACCGAGGCGCTGTAGGATGCTGTGACGTCAGTTTAGTCAGGAAGTAGTCATTTTATATAGAGAGTCAATCTTTGTGATTGAGTTTTTATCCTTTAATGAGGACGAATACAAAGCATTCTGAGTCTTAGTGGTTTTATTAATGCTT